TATAAGAGATAAATTGTAAGAGATAAGTTGATACAGAACTTATAAGAGATAAATTGTAGATGATGGACCTTTACCAGGACTTCTTCCAAATCATAAGCAGTCAGTGTTGCTTTTCCTGGATCGTGTTTATGGTATCGATTCACAGGAAATGCTTTTCCAATTCCTGGAGAAAAGTTTTTTGCCGGATCTTCGTGCCGCTACAATGATGGATTCGGTAAGTTGATGTAGAATTTTATGATCCTTCTTATTGAATCAGTCATAAGCGTTGCTGATACACGGCCTTTCCTGTTTTCTTTTATCATTGTGTAAATATCACCCAATAATCCGCTTTATCTGTCTATTGTTTTTCCTACAATTGATAATAGGGGAAAAAAAATCTGTGGAAATTCAAATATAAACAACAGCAGGATCGCCAAAAACACCTGGAAAAACAGTGTCAACAGCAGCTATCCCAGTAAAATTCGGTAATTAATCTTGTCTGGTTGTACAGCTAGCAGCTCGCTGTTGTTTATTTTGAGCCTCTCTCATCCATACAACTCTGTTTAAGCGAAAACTCAAACGGATCTTTCTATCGCATTAACTGCATTTTCTGTATAGTCTTTTAACACTGCGCGGGTACCATTCAGTAATTCATCTTCTCCATCTGTTGTCCCTCATTCTTGCCAAAGTGCCAGCCCAATTCCTTTTCCTGGCTTACGGTGCCTTTGGTAATATCGCTCATGGCAGACTGAGACTGCCGCGTTCCGCTAAAGATGTATTAGTTTCCTGATACCCACTCTGCCTTTTGATGGCTTGTTAGGTCATTGCTAAAGTTCCAAAGAGCAAAGAGTGAGGAAATATGGAGAATAACTTAGCAAGTAAGCGCTTTTTTAAGTTGTTGTTTCTTTGCAGCCACGTGCGGTTGAAAGTGATACAGCATTGGCACTGAATCGTTACCTGTGTAATGCTGTTCTACCACTACTCACCAACCACTCATACTATTTCGCTGATGCTGAGCATCATGCTGCACTTCTAGATGCAACCCTTCATACTGTAAGTTGTTAA